GGGGGATTCAAGACGAGAATTTGACATTTAACACAGGGAAATTACATTAAAAATGTCCTTCGGGGTTTCAGTTTTCGCACGCTTCCCTCCAGAATCATCGATGACGACTTATGTGTGTGTGTATGTGTGTGTGTGTGTGTGTGTGTGTGTGTGTGTGTGTGTGTGTGTGTGTGTGTGTGACTGTGAGTGTGTGTTTGTTTGTATGTGTGGATCTGTCAGTTTTTTCAGTATTAATTGCCAATCTATAACGCTATGTGTGTTCGGATGGTGTCAGTTGTCACCCCACCCACCACTCTCTTTCTTCCTCTCACCCCCCCTCTCTCTCTCTCTCCTTCTTTCTCTCTCTCTTTCTCTCTCTCTCTCCCTCTGTCCCTCTCTCTCTTTCTCTCACTCTCTCTCTCCCTCTTTCTCTCTCTCTTTCTCTCCCTCCCTCTCTCTCTCTCTCTCTCTCTCTCTCTCTCTCTCTCTCTCTCTCTCTCTTTCTCTCTTTTTTTTCTCTGTATTTTGTTTGCACATGTCCGAAAGTAACGTTTACTGCAGAATGACAAACGATGTGCCGCACACAAAGCGAGTACCTGGGACTAAATATTAAATGAATTGATGAGAAGAAAAAAGACTGATTCATTTTGTCTATTAAGCCGTTATATTTTGTTGGTTTAAAATCTACACCTATTTTATGCTTAGCAACGACCAGCTGTTCAGACGAAGAAAATGTGAGTCCATAATTTTTTATTTAAAAAACCCAAAGTTTTTAAACATTCTTATAATATTATGGTATTAGTTGCATAATATGCATTAAATTTGGACTTAGAAAGTCAAATTCTAAATGCTGACTAAAACACCCCTCCCCCAGGGTCGATGGGGAGAATAAAAGAGCGGAGGGGCAGAAATTAGAGAAGAAAAATGTGGGGGGAGCGGGAAGACATGAGAAAGAAAGGGGGGAGGGGAGAGAACGAGACCGAGGTGGAGAAGAGAGAAAGAGAGAGAGTGCGGGATAGAGAAACAGAAAGAGAGAGAGAGAGGGAGAGAGAGAGAGAGAGAGAGAGAGAGAAAGAAAGAGAGAGAGAGAGAGAGAGAGAGAGAAAGAGAGAGATCGATGGGGTAACCTTGAGAGACAGCGGATAATATATAATATTATAAGAGGAATAAAACGAATGGATACAGATATGAAAATACATGGAAAAAGAGGATATTATAATGACAGATACACCGATTAAATCCTATTTACCTGTCTTTGTGCTACCATGACACAGTGAATTGTAAACTTGATCTGCTACGCAGAAGTTCTATGTTCGTAACCTGGAGTTGTTCCAATAGTCAAAAAAGAAAAAGAATTCCCGTGCCCATTTATATACCATTGACGCAACCTGATTAGTAGAAAGTGCGTATGACAGTGTCCCATAGTGTTTTTGTTTGTTTTTGCAAAGTGTTTTACGGCGCTCGCAATTGCATATTAATAAGGTCATATGAGCGCGCGGGACACACCTAATATTTTCAGTTGGTAGGAAATTTTGAATTTTGCCCCGGTGGCGGCCGAAGCCTACTCTTTTCGATTTTAGACCAGCAAGGGATATTTAACGTGCGCAACTTGCACACTGGCCCTCCGAGATTTTTCGCCCTTGTCCGAGAAGGCTAGGTGTAGATCTTTCCTACCAGAAGATCAGAGGTGTGACAGAAAGACTGCAGTAAGGAGGAGCCAAGGAGTAGCAGTAGAAACGCTGCAGAAAGGAGTCAGGAGCCCAGAAGAGGGGGAAAGGAGGTGAGGAGGTGTGGGTAGAAAGTGGAAATGAAAGCAGACAACAGAACATTGCTAGAGAGCAGGAAAGGAGGTGAAAGGGGACAATTTTAGAGAAGAAAATTTTTCGGTAGCTGCCCGGATTCGAACCCGAGACCTTTTCTATCTACTTGGGATTTAGTAGTGCGGAATACTTTCAGAATTTCAGTCCAACGAGAAGCTGAGTTGACTAATGTGTCTGTGGTGAGACGGTTAGGTCGCACGCACAGTACTGAGTTCGATTCCCGTATGGGGAGAACTTTTATCAAGTGTCTCGGGCGTCGTATCCGTCTCAGCTTGGCTTGGCCTTGACAGGCAGGGTCGAAGCTTGGCTAGTGCCTCTAAAAATAAATCATTGATGGTCAAGGTCAAGGTGAAGGTCGAAGCTCACCCCCCAAAAAGATCTTAATTGCGTCGATGTTTCATAAGAACTCTTACAATAAGATGAAACCGAGTAGTTTTGTTGCTTTTTCTTT